TCTAATACAACTGTTTTCACTTTTCTGAGTCCCTTTGGGGCTCTGTCCACGGGCGTACATGCTTACACTAAGCTGTAATGTGTACACAGCACTGTATATTCTGCATTTGTTACATAACAGTGGATTGTGTTTTCCGTGTCGCTGCACACTTCGTAATGACTCTTTGTATGATCACATAATATTTTGTCCAGCTAATGTGCTGAACTTGCTCTTCCTGTCCTTGGGCTGGCTCTGCCTCCCAGAAGTCTTTGGGAAAGTATTCCCAGCCCCCTCATACTATTATCAAAACTCCCTACTTCCTTGGGAATAGAAAAACAATTGAACTTAACCTTGGAACAGCCTTACTCACATGGCTTTGAGATTGTTTTAAATACTCACAAATAGGGGCCAGCAGATGGTGGTGTGGTTACAACACTAACCTCACACATGGCCGACTGTGGCTCCAGTCCTGGACCTGGCAGCTTGAAAATCACACCAGGTATGGGTGCCCGCATGCCCAGAATCCCAGGAGGGAACTGGAGGAGGAGGGGTTGCAGCATAGCCACGTCCCGTGGAGGTGATTTCTCACTTTCCTTCTCACTGTGTCTCTCTAGCGAGCGCACACGCCCTATAACAAAAACCTTCAAAACCAAACCAAACCAGTAGACTTCATCCAGGAGCAAAGAGTTTGGAGCTCACACGCGGGCCTGGTTATTCCTTCCTGAATAACCTTTTGAAAGAGACAGCGAAAGGGGATCTCAGGCACTGCCTGAACTCATCTCTGCAATACCTGGTGGGGGCCTTGGTCCTGAGCCCTCTCCAGGAACAGAGGGCTTGTGTGCTCTCAGCCGGAAGTGAAGCCCGGAGCCGGTCAGGTAAAGGGGTGCTCCCCACACTGAGCACACTGCCTGCTGCGGCACTGCCGGGGATCGACATCGTCCGTTTGTATTCTTTTTTTATTTTTTTGGTTGCTGTAGGCCGCATGTGCTCACCAGAAATAGAGAGAGAGGTAAGTGGGAAAGCATCCCCAGGGGGATGGCCACACTGCACCCCTTCTCCTCCATCCTCCTCTTGGGATTCCGAGCACAGATGCACACACACGCCACGAGTTTTTTAAGCCTCTGGGTCCAGGTCTTGGTCCGCACAGTCAACCCTGTGGAATCCAGCTGCCTTCACCACCGTGCCACGCACTGGCCCTGTTTTCTGTTCCTTTAGCTAAATTCTTCCAGCCCCACATGGAGATTTCTGTTGCTCTCACACCAAAGCATCTCTGCCTTCTCATGAGCCAAGTAATCAACTTAAGGATTTAAAAGAAATAATGAACGGGTTTATAATAACAGCTAACACTCAGGAGCCTTTACCCTATACCAGGTACTCTGCTAAAAATACTGTATACCTGTGTCTTGTTTATTCCTCCTAACAGCCACATAAGATGGGGTTTGGCAGCGTGGAAATGAGATTCGGAGAAGCCTGGTGACTTGCTTGGGTCTTCCTAGGATCCCAGCGGTGCTTTCCCTCCAGCCGTCTCTGCCATGCTAGCCAGGAAAGGACGAGTTGAAGCAAAGCAGCAATGAGCTGCTCCTTTCTCATTCCCTTCAAGAAGTCCCTTGCTGGCGTGGAAGTTATTTTGTATAAAGGCATCGATTAGAAATTCGCCATTCTCTTTAAGTTTCCCACCAGAGGCTTTGCCCTATTTTCTCTTTAGAAGTCTCTACTTCGGAGAACCTGCTTCAGGGGAGGGAGGAGCAGGGGATTCAGGATAGGGAAGAAAGGGAAGAAAGAGGTGCTTGTAGTCTCAGCCTTCTTCCCCACAGCCTTGAGGAAGCCAGAGAAGAGCCAGGTGGGCCGTGCAGAAGACTCAGAGATGGGACCTCCCCTGGGCCTAGTTAGGAGCATCTCCAACTAGGCCCCAAAAGCCCCTGACAGTCAGTGGCCACAGGCAGACCAGAGCTCTTCTCCCAGAGTGAGCAGTGACTGGCTGGGTGACCTACGGCAGGGCAGGTCACAGACCTCTGCAAGGTGAGGCTAGGGGAGTAGACTCTGTGGGCACGCAGCTCTTCGCTGGCCCTCGGACTTATCCTGGAGGGACGCCCACACCACGTTAGGGTTCTAGGGCCAAGACCAGCTGATGGGGAAGGGGCCTGGCACAGGGGATCTAGATGCTTGTCCCCATCCGTGTGGCCCAGAGGGGTCCAAGTGTAACTGTGGTTATCTTGCCATGTTGGTTCCTGCATTCCTGACACTGCCCTGTCCCTGTGCACCTCGTTGTCTCCAGCTCTTAGACACGGGCTTCGGTGCTCGGAGCACTGGGTCTAAGGGAGACTTGCCTCTTACAGAGCAGTGGGAAGGGGCGGGGAGACCCAGGCCCAGAGCAGCCCTTCTTTGGTGAAGTCAAGCGGAGAGTCCTCAGTGGCTGACTAGGGACTCCTTGTCCTTGCCCTGCTGTCCTGGTCCCCATAGAGTCAGACGTGGACTTGGGAGAGGCTGTTGCCATAGCGACAAAGAAGGCCCCTTTGAGTCAACCCTGGGAGAGACCGAGGCCCTGAACCAGGAAAGGGCTTCTTTGCCTTCAGGCTGTACTTCCTCCCTATCCTGTGCCCATGTGTCCTCCTTAGGCCACCTTAGCATCCCTAGCCCAGACTGCAAACAGACCTGCTGCAGTGTCTGATCAGAGCCCAGACAGACTCTGGTTTACCCCTGATAACACTCATGAGTGCCCAGTTTCAGAAACACACCACCTCGGATCACAGAGCTTAGCCGGAGCATGTTGGGACGGTGCGGGGCGATGCAGAGGTCCCAAGGCGGCCCTAGTTCAGGTTCCCTTCAAGCTGCTGACCCAGGTCAGCCCGCCATCGTCAAGGTAGAGACACAGTCAAGGTGCGCCCTAGGCCCCCAGGGGTAGGGTCAGCTGTTATCACGAGGCTGGAAATGCCCCGAGCCTCTGGTGCTCCGGCTCATGGCTTCACGGGAGTCCGTCCAGCCCTGAGCACATCTTAAAGGCTGCACGTGCTTGTGTGAGACGTGACAGGGATGGCGACCCTCGGGAGCTCATTTCTCTCTGGACCTGTTCCCTGATACATCAAGTCACTTCATCTAACAGGTGTGAACATAATGGCTTCGTTTATTTCTTTTGAAGACAGGCCCACTGCAGAATGCCCGCTGTGCAGGCTACCGTGCAGGTTACAGAACACTGCAGCCATATTTCTGGGACCTCAGCGTCCCCCTCCCCATGGGGAAGCAAAATGTCAGTGGAGCAAATTACTGGCCAAATACTTTGGAATCTATAAATATTAAATTGCTCTGACTTTCATATAAAATTCAAGCTCTGGTCAGCACTGGGAGAAGCATCTGACTAATGTGAGGGCAGGTGGGGGCCTTGGCCATTGGACAGACAAGTGCCCCAGGGGCAGGGCTGGGCTGAGTGTGGGCAGTGGATGGTGGGTGGTAGCCCCCCTACCCTGGCTGGGTGGAAGCAGTGGGAGTGGGGTGCAAAGAAGGGAGGTGGAAAGCCCTGATGCCACCATAACACAGGATGGGGTTTTCTCTGAGTTTTCACTTGGAGTTTCAGGATTGGGGGAATGGTCGTGTTGCTTTTTATTTTTTTTTTTGAGAAATTTTTGCTATAGGGTGCATCTGCTCACTGGAGAGACAGAGAGACAGAGACAGAAATCAAGAAATCACCCCCCAGGGAGGATGGCCACACCACAATCCCCTCTACTCCATTCTCTTAGGATTTTGGGCACGCATGCATATGCGCCCAGTGTAAGTTTGAGGTCTTCTGGTCTGGAACTCGAACCAGACAATTAATGCAGAAGTCCAGCGATGTAACCATTACGCCATCTGCTGGTCCCTTTGTGTTTGCATTTCTAACCCCAGTCCAGAACTCCAGTGTACTGCCACTTCCAGGGACTGTGAGAGGCTGGGCCTGCTGGCTCTAGGCAGCCAGCCATCCTCCTCCAATCCGCCTGTTGCAGACCACACTGGGCCCCTGGCACTCCCAGTGGCAGGAGCCCCGTGCCTGTGTGAGGACCTGATCGCACTGGCTGCTTTGTGCTGGTTGTGTGTCTATAGCAGGTGTGCTGCGTGGGAGTGTCTCGTGTTTGTATACCACCTCAGTTCCGCTTTAGACTCCCTGCATGTGGGGGTGCATCTCCTGTGTCTTTGGGGCCTCTCGACAGTGCCGGCAGTGATCGGCTGCCCTGATGTGCCATGGGTCTGTGCTGTTTTGTAGACGCATCCCCTCTCTGATCTTCTGTGGTGGGATGACATAACCATAGCAGGGTTGGGACCAGCAGTTGGTGTAATGGCTATGTCGCTGGACTCCCATGTAGTTGACCATGGTTCGCGTCCCGGACCCGGTGGCTAAAACTCACGCCGGGCACGTGTGCGTGCGTGCCCAAGATCCCGAGAGGAGAATGGAGGAGAAGGGATTGTGGTGTGGCCATCCCCCCTGGGGGGGTGATTTCTCGCTTTCTGTCTGTCTGTTTTTCTCTGTCTTTCTGACAAGTGCACGTGCCTCGTAGAAAAAAAAAAAACTCTAAAAAAAAAAAAGACCTACAGCAGGGTCACATGTTGCAGCTGGATTGGGAAGTAACCTGCGAGGGTTATGCGGAGAGGTTGTGTTCAGGGAACGTGTGCAGAACTCAAGGGAGTTCTGTGGCTGTTCAGAGGCTGGGCCTGGATTCAGCCATAGGCGTGCTTTCTCTTTTAAAAGAATTATTTATTTTATTTTATTTATTATTACTATTTTTTAACTTGACCAGAGAGGGAAAGAAAGCAAGCTGCTAGGTCCAGGACTCAAACTGTGGTCGGCCGTGTTAATGTTCAGTGCCTCAACTACATTGCCACTTGATGGCCCCCGAGTCTGAGTTCTTAATTATGACTCTGTTGTCTCCTAGGTCCATCACATGCACCGTGGATTAGAGCTGGCTCCCTCCCCTAAGGCCTGACTCTCCCCGGCTAGCAGCCAAGCAAGTGTCTGTCTCTCACTTTGTCTCTCTCTGTCTCTGTCTTTCTTGCAGGCATTCCCACGCTCATCGTGCTAGACCCACAGGGGGAGCTGATCACGCGGCAGGGGCGGGTGGAGGTGCTCAACGACGAGGACTGCAGGGAGTTCCCATGGCACCCCAAACCCGTGCTGGAGCTCTCCGACTCCAACGCGGTGCAGCTCAACGAGGGCCCCTGCCTCGTCCTTTTTGTAGGTATGAAGCTCAGCAGGGCCCCAGTGAGGGGACAGGACCAGGTGGACCTCACTTGGAAGTGCCTGTCCCTGCTGCTTCTGTTGCAAGTAGCCCAGGGCCTGGGCGTTGTCTATCCTTGCTGGAGCCTTGCTTTTGACCCCAATGATTTATTCATGGTCCTCCCCTGTGGGAGGTGTTCTGGGAGCTGCCGCTGGGCTTTGCTTCCTAGCTGCTCCCTAGCCACCAGCTGGGCAGAATAGGTCAGGCCTGGAGGATGCCCTCAGCCCCCCATGAACAGACTCATTGTTGAAAAGGGGCGGGGCTGCACACACACAGCAGCTGCAGTGGGTCTGGGCGCCCTCAGCCAAGGCTCCTCTGGGGCTGCTTCTGTTGAACCTCTGTGCTCCAGTGACCTGCTCCAGGGCTGCAAGAGCCAGTCTCAGGTCTTGCGGTGGCATCCCTGGCTCATTCATCCTCATCTGCACCCCTCATCTCTCCCCACCCCACCCACTCTGGTGCTCAGGGCTGACTGCTTGGCCTGGGCAGGACGACATAGGAGCACTCACCTAGGGTCTCTGGCCCTGTGGGATGACCGTAGCTCCTTTACATACTGAGTGACTTCTGGCCAAGGGCCACCTGATCCTTTGCCTTGAGACTTGTTACTCCCATCCAGCTCAAAATTATTGTACGATGCTAGGATCCTGACTGGGATGCTGCCATGCCTATTTCACTGAGAGCCAGGAGTGTGTATAGAATCTTATCTTATCCTGTTTGGGGGCCCAGAGGAGAAGAGTCAATATGAAGACACAATTTTTCTTTCTTTCTTTTTTTTTTTTTTTTTTGCCATAGGGCACATGCCCCTAAAGAGGGAAAATGAGAAATCACCCCCCAGGGGGATGGCCACGCTGCAGTTTCTTCTCTTTTGGGCATACACTCACACGCATCCAGCATGATCTTCAAGCTGCCAGGTCTGGGGCTCAAACTATGGAGTTGGTCATGTGAAATCCAGTGCCTTCACCACCACACCATCTGCTGGCCCCTACCCAAAGAAATTCTTTTTTTTTTTTAAGAGGTTTTTTGCTATAGGGCGCATGCACTCACCAGACAGAGAGAGACAGAGACAGAAAGTGAGAAATCACCCCCCAGGGGGAATGGCCACACCGTAATCCCCTCTCCTCCATTCTCCTCCCAGGATCTTGGGCACGCACACACACGCGCCTGGCATGAGTTTAAGCCGCCGGGTCTGGGACTCGACCCGCGGTTAACTATGTGGGGGTCTAGCGACGTAGCCATTACGCTAATTGCTGGTCCCAAGAAATTCTTAAGGAAACTGACTTGCAGCTTGGCTCTGAGCTTAGAGGAAGAAGGCCCCCTGGGGAGAGGCAGCCTGGGGGAATCATTCACCTTGGGGCTCTCCTGCCTGTCAGGGGCTCCCACGCCCACATCCAGGGGCTGGCCAGGAACAGCTGACAAGAGCCTCAGCCCCTCTGCTGATGCGGAAGCAGGCGGCAGAGAGGCAGGGAACCGAGCAGCATCCCAAACTGATTGGACACGGATCGCATGTGTCCTGCTGCTTCTTACTCATGCCTCGGGCCCTTCTGGGTGCTGGAGCCCACTCTCCCTTCCTCTGCTTTTCGGGGATGTTGCTCTTGCTCTGAGTTACAGTT